GCTGGGCTCATGACCCGAGTCAAAGGCAGACACTCAACCAACTGAGCCACCCAAGCGCCCCTATTTATTTATTTTTAAAGATTTTATTTATTTATTTGAGAAAGAGAGAGTGAGAGCATGCATGAGAAAGAGCACAAGAGAGAGAACACGAGCAGTGGGGACGAGGGGAGAGGGAGAAAAAGAAGCAGACTCTTCCCTGAGTAAGGAGCCTGATGCGGGGCTTGATCCCAGAACCCAGGGATCATGACCTGAGCCAAAGGCAGACACTTTACCAGCTGAGCCAACCAGGCACCCCAGGAACTTTCATTTTAAATGAAGGGAAAGACTCATATTTACAATATTGTACATGTTTGTTTAAGGTAAAATTGTGGTACAGAGAGAGGGTGATCAGTTGTGTGTGGCCAGTGGGCAGTGAGGGTCCAGGTTGGCTTTATAGAGCTGGTGATGCTTGAGGTGGGGGTGATCGTTGCTGGAGTGAGGGAAGAGCATTGCATGCCTGGAGCAGCGGGACATAGTGTAATGTAGTAGGAAATCGGCGATTAGGGGGTGTAGGGGACCAGTAGCAGATGAAGTTAGAGAGGCAGGTCAGATTGTGAGTAACCTTGTCATTTTTAAATTTAATTTAATTTAATTTTTTTTAAAGATTTTATTTATTTATTTGACAGAGAGAGACCGTGAGAGAGAGGGAATACAAGCAGGGGAAGTGGGAGAGGGAGAAGCAGGCTTCCTGCTGAGCGGAGAGCCCAATGTGGGGATGTGGGGCTCGATCCCAGGACCCTGGGATCATGACCTGAGCCAAAGGCAGACGCTTAATGACTGAGTCACCCAGCCACCCCTGGTTTTTTAATTTTAGAGTGAGGGGTGATGGGCAGCCATTGAAGGGTTTCAAGCAGGAAAGAAACACGGCCAGATTTACATTTATCAAGCTGGTTGGTCAAGGCAGCCAAGCAGATGGAGGACGGCGTAATGGGGGCCATGCTGGAAACTGGGAAGTAGTTAGGAGACCTGTAATACCTATGGTTTCTTTTCTGTATTAGCTCGCTAGAGCTGCCATAACGAAATATCATAGACTGGGTGGTTTAAACAACAGAACTTTATTTTCTTATAGTTCTGGAGGCAAAAAGTCCACGATCAAGGTTTCATCAGGTTTGGTTTTCTCCTGAGGCCTCTCCTTGGCTTGCAGATGTCTGTCTTCTCTCTGTGTCCTCGCATGGTCTCCCCTCTGTGTATGAGCCTCCCCGGTGTCTCTTTGTGTTCAAATCTCCTTTTCTTAGAAGGACACCAGTAATATCCGATTTTTTTTAAGTAGGCTCTGCGCCCAGTAGACTTGAGATCAAGATCTGAGCTGAGATCAAGAATTGCATGCTTAGGGACGCCTGGGTGGCTCAGTTGGTTGGGCAGCTGCCTTCGGCTCAGGTCATGATCCCAGCGTCCTGGGATCGAGTCCCACATCGGGCTCCTTGCTCATCAGGGAGCCTGCTTCTCCCTCTGCCTCTGCCTGCCATTCTGTCTGCCTGTGCTTGCTCTCTCTCCCTCTCTCTCTGACAAATAAATAAATAAAATCTTTAAAAAAAAAAAAAAAAGAATTGCATGCTTAACCAACTGAGACACACAGGTGATTAATCACCTCTTTTAAAGGCCCTATCTCCAAATATAGTCACATTCTGAGATACTGGGGATTAGAATTTCAACATATGAATTTGAGGGGGGAGGGGACACAATTCAGTCCATTAATATTTTCCATTAGTAACATGTAAGGAATGGGGTCTGGAGACCCCTGCCTGATAAGATTAAGTCGCTTCCCTTCTCATCATTGGGAAACAACAAATTCATATAATCTGTGTTAACAGTAAATTGGATATTATGATGTTAATAAAGACTACTTTTATTTCTGAGTCTCTGATGTCCAGCAGAGTGTGAAACAGATGATACTGGTGCTCACTGAATTAATGTAGGAGAGATGAATGAATCTGTTATCTGCACTTGTAAAACACATGGAATTGTGTCTGCTCTTAGGGTCTAGGGAAAGGAGAGTTGTAGTGTTAAGACTTACTGAGGGTGTGACTGGATAAGATCCAAAGGCATTTAGTATTTTCATTTACATTTCATTTCAAGTCACTGTTCCATTTTATCTGTCTTCTGTTGATCAGGAGTTCCCTGGGAAAGGGTCTTACACAACTGTCTGAGCATTCCCAGCCACTAATCCAGTTCCTGGCCCAGAGCACAGAGCCTGGCATGGAGCACGTGATACCAGTGAAGCTTGTGGAATGAATGAGGGGATTAGATTTAAAAGTTTTAGTGAGTAGAAGCTGTAACTTTGCATTCAGCTTTTATAACTCTTGGTGGTTCAAGCGTATAATTTTTTTTCCCTTTTTAGTAGTATAGTGGCACTGGTGAACCTTCAAAAAAATGCTTCATTGAGCAAAGAGTAGTCTAGCCATCAGCTGAGAACTCCTCCAGCTCACTGCTACATCAACAAACTGATATGTCTTTTTCTCTTTCTCCTTTCAGTGGAGAGAGGTCCTTTCTTGTAGCAAAGGCCAATAGCTACAAGTATGCCCTGAAGCCTGTACCACCATTATCTTCTTCTTCCTCTTCTTTTTAAATTTTTGCTTCTTTAAAACATAAAGCTTGGGGCGCCTGGATGGCTCAGTCGGTTAAGTGTCTGCCTTCGGCTCAGCCCATGATCTTGGGGTCCTGGGATCAAGCCCCAAATCGGGATCCCTTCTCTGTAAGAGTGTGCTTCCCCTTCTCCCTCTGCTGCTCCCCCGATCGTCTGCTCATACTCTCTTCCTCTTGCTCTCAAATAAATAAAATCTTAAATAATAATACTAAAGCTTGGTTACCCTATGTTCTCCTGCAAATGGACCTTGGGAGCTTGTTTGGAGGTTCTAACTGGGGAGCACAGCTACTTGTATAACCTTGACCAAAGCAAGGTCCTTCTCTAACAGGGAAGGTCATCCTCTTTTTTTTTTTTTTTTTAAGATTTTATTTCTTTATTTGACAGACAGAGATCACAAGTGGGCAGAGAGGCAGACAGAAAGAGAGAGGAGGAAGCAGGCTCTTCTCGGAGCAGAGAGCCCGATGTGGGGCTCGATCCCAGGACCCTGGGATCATGACCCGAGCTGAAGGCAGAGGCTTTAACCCACTGAGCCACCCAGGTGCCCCAAGGTCGTCCTCTTGAACCAAATACCTAACTTCAGGGTTGGGGGAGGTGGGTGCCCATGGAGTGGTAAGTGTGGTAGGGGACATCCACTTAGCCAGCCAGATGAGCTGAATCAACCCTGGCGCTCAATGGGGTGACAGATGTCACGGTCAGATCACCCTCACATCCTTCTTTTTTAAGTTTGAAGATCTAATCGGCTTTATTAAATGATTCATGAATTGGGCAGCATCCCAACTGGCTGACAGAGATGAAGTCTACTACCACCTTCTTAAGAACTTAACTTTTGGGGCCCCTGGCTGGCTCAGTTGGAAAAACATGTGACTCTTGATCTTAGGGTTGTGCGTTCAAGCCCCACACTGGGTGTAGAGATTCTTTAAATAAAAACAAAACAAACAAACAAAAAAGAACTTACAAACTTTATCTCCCAACTCTTCCTCTGATGTTAAACATATCCTAAGTTCCCATGTTAAAAAAGCATCCCTTGACCCATAACTCCTTTTTCCCCTTATCATTATAACAGCTAATGATTAAAGGAACTTAAAATGTGTTGGGCCTGTTCTGTCTTGTGTTGTATCAATCCATTTAACGTTCACAATAACATCCTGTGTATAGGGGACTATGGAAAAAAAAAACAACCCAAAATTTAACTAAAAAATTTGAAGATCTAATTGGTTGTATGACAAGGATTCATGAATGGGCAGCATCCTATCCAGCAAGTAGACAGGAGCTCTGAAGAGCTGTACAGAATGGAAGGATTTTATAGGTAGAAGGACCCTGGACAAGGAAGGTAAGAGTGGATTGTTTCAGGCAAAGTTACCTTCCCATAGGGGAAGGGTCTTATCATGCAGATGACCTCACTAGAACTGATCAGAAAATTTCAGATTTATTGGTTTAAATTCTAATTACTTTAGAGGCTAAAACTGCAATTAGGTCACATATTGTCTTAGTGGGGTTTATCTATCAACAGTGACTCCGATTTGAGCCTGTTAACTCTTTTTAACAGGACTGTTACCATAAATCCCATTTTTTCGAATGGGGAAAAATAAGGCACAGGGTGGCAGAGCCAGGATTACCAAACCAGGTTGATCTGGCTTTAGACTCCATCCCCTTCACTGTGATGGTGAATTTAACGCAATTCATGTTGACAGATTTCATTTTATTTCTTTAGTGACCGTCAAACTTCAAGGGCTTACCGGGAACACGGTAAATACTCAGTTATTGAATAGACGCATTTAAAAATAAATTTGAAAAAAAAATAAATTCGACTAATTCGAGTAATAAAAAAAAAAAAAAACGAAAAACTCCTCACTCTGTTTGACCTTGTAGAAACCGTGTTATCTCTTTCTCCCTGCTTGATTTCCCACCCAGTGAATCAGGGGAATTGGGGTGGGAGGACAGCGGGGTAGAGGAGGAGGCGAGCGCAAGTGACTAGGAACAGGAGGTCGGAACCCGGAATTGGGAGGGCAGATCTTCAGCCTCCTCCACTGGAAGATGGTACCGACTGCACCCCGTGGTGCGAAGGGTTCATTTTCTGAGCGGAGTCCAAGGTTCCACACGGAGGCTCCCAGTGAAAGAGCTCGGGGAAGACCCGAGCCTGGGGAGGCAGGCATGTAGCGTTACGGAGCCGCGTGGCCCTTCGTTACGCCGGGCGCGGAGTAGAGCGCTGCCACCAGCAGGGGCGGAATCCGAGCCCGGTCTCGGCAAGCCCCGCCCCCGGGGCGGCGGAAGCGGACCGGTCCTCACCTCCCAGATCTGGGCGTGTCCCCGCGGGCGCACGCGCGCGCACGGCATGCTGGGAAGGCGCCCGCGCGGCGGCCATTTTGTCTTATCGGCTCCTCGTTAGAGGAGGCTTTTCGGCCTGCGAGAGGGCCAAAGGGGTTGGCGACTGTGTCGCCGGCGTTTTTTTTTGGCGGGTGCCAGGGCAGGTGGGAGCAGCCGCCCGAGAAAAGCACCATGATTTCGGCCGCGCAATTGTTGGATGAGTTAATGGGCCGGGACCGAAACCTCGCCCCGGACGAGAAGCGCAGCAACGTGCGGTGGGACCACGAGAGCGTAAGTCCCGCGGGCCTTGGGTCTGTGCCCGGGCGCCGTGGGGGAGGGGAGCAGCGCGGGCTGGGGCCCGTCCGGCCGTCGGCGCGATTTGGGGCGCGGGCCGCACGGGGTCGAGTGTCTGATCCTGTGGCGGGAGGGAGGAGCCCGCCGGGGTCCGGGGATGAGGGATGATTTGTTTTTGTTGTTGTTTTAGTATTGAGGAAGTCTGAGAGGGCCCTTGGCAGAATTGAAAAACACCTTAAAAAGGCAGGGAAACGCGGGAAAATATTTTACTATATCTAGCGGCTCTGGAGTTTTTAACCTTATTATGAGGTAGAGAAGAAGGCAAATTCTTCCGTTATTTGGGTTGAGCGTCGTAGTTAGACCGAAATTTCTGGGGAGGGTTAGTGATAAAAATCGTGGCATTGTATTACTTCAAGAAAGGGTCCATTTCGATGCTTACGTGAGGAAATAAAATTCCAAGAGGTCATAACTTGGTAGGGTTTCCCGTGGTGATTTACAGATACCGTTTGATAGCCGCACGTTTTAGTTAAGCTAGCTCTTCTTGTAGATGGTTGTCCTGTTTTTTTCTTCACTACAAGACTCCTTTGATAAGAGTACAGGTATCTTGATGAGCACTGAGAAACGTGTAGAATTGTTGAATCATTATCTGGTACTCCTGAAACTAATAAAACAATTATATTTGAATGAAACAAAACTCATTTGGTCCTTTTTACCTTATGAGTAAAGGGTAACTATAACCCTCGTTTCACAGATAAGACTTGAGAGGCCACCCAAGGTCTCTTGGCAAGTTAAGCGGCAAAACTAAACCTAATCTTTGTAGTCCTGTTCAGTCACCACAATTCTATCAGACTGACGTCTCTGCAGATACCCGTGCATTCCAAGTGTTTTGAACATGGCAGTGTTATTATGTTAGGTCTTAACCTGAAGAAGAGATGTAGATTCGAATCATACGTAGCTTGCAGTTGCAGTCAAACAACGTGGTAATTTAAAGGCAGTTACTAATCAAAATAGGTATAGTTGGACAATAGGTTTTCTAAAAAAGGTGTGTTTTGTTTTTTAATGTAGGTTTTGGTCAGAGTAAAATTTCTCTTTTGTAATTCAGGCAAATAAGCGGTGCTAGATGAGTCCTTTCAGTATCTTAAGTAAGTGCCTAAGCTGCATTGGGTTGTTGGTTGATTCCAAAGTAGTATGAAGGGTAATGGTAGAATTTATTGTGTGGGGTCAAATTCACAAGTTTGTTGTTGACTTCAAGAGAGGGGAAGCTTTTTGAAAGCCCCCCCCTTTCTTTCTTTTCTGATATTGGTGTTTTTCCCCTGCTTGTTAAATAGGAAGCTGAGTAACTTTTTTGCTTGTTTTGATCCTCTTTTTGTCTAGGCATTTGTCGCTGTGAAGTCCGTTTTTCTTTTACTACTTAGGGATTTTTCCATCTTGTCTTGCAAAACAAAGAACATGATTTAGTTGATGTGCAGATAGGACATTTTGGACATAATGTATTTGGGGTTAAAAAGAAAATTGCTTTTGACTGCCTGCTTATCAACTGGAACAGTCTAAAATTTGTGCCTCCTTGGTTTTGAACATATGTTGTGAAGAAACTTTGTTTTCCTGATACTATTAAATTGCCACATTGCTTTGTATACCGTGGGTTTATAGTTGGCAGTGGGGCTCTGGGAATTGCAGCTTAAGTCTTCTGTCATCTCAGCCCTAATCTTTGGCTTAAGGTGTTTCTCATTGATTTTAAATTCTCGGCGCTGTCACCAAGATTCTTTATGCCTGAATGACAGATTTACTTCATTCCCAATCCAGGGATTTGAAAAAGTCAAATTACTGCTATTTCAGATTCATGTCTGCTGGGGTTCGGGGAGAAGGTTGATGTTGACCTGGAACAAAGCACATGGCCTCTTCTAAATAAGACTGAATTACTCCGGGGTAAAATAAAGCTGTGGAAGCTCGTGACATCACTTCCGGGTTATTTGCATAATCTTAGGCTGTTGGTTAGTAGTGGTAAAATCCTGGGAAAAAATGGACAACCCCAACATATACTGTAAAGGTTTCAGGATCATTGAACCTGATGTTTCAAATATTTTTACATTCCTGTTCTATGTGGAAATTTTTCTTTGCTACCTTTGCACTGGATGGGAAAAGCTATTTCAGCGGGGTGGAGTCCTTTTGTTTAACAATTGAAATGGAAACTTTACCGTACTGGTAATGGTAGTTCTTGTTTGTCTGTATTTGACCAACCTGTGGGATTTGTTTTACATGCAGATTTCTCTTCTTTGCCTGAAGAGATTCTAATCTGTAGGCCTGTGGGACGGCCCCAGAAATCTGGGTTTTTTTTAAATGGCCTCTTACCCATTCTAAAGCTTGTGAAGTGTAGCTTCCTGACCCACCTGATTAGTCTTGGGTTTTTAATTGTTAGCTCATAGCCCTTGAAGCTCATTTTTAAGTGAAGTATGCATCAGTGATGTAAATTACTGACCTTTCCTTTGTTTGTAATGGTTTTTATGTAATCACTATCCCCGGTGAATCTTGGAAAGTGCTGCACTGGGGTTTTACAGCATTTCCAACTTTTGTAGGTTGTTATCTTGATGTGAGAGAAAGTAGTTTTCAGCTAAAGTCAGATTAGTTTTAATACCATCCCAAGGATTCATTCATATATCCTACTGCCTCGCCTATTAATATTTTACAATTTCTTGAAGTTAGTATTTCGCATTAAGCAGTTTGTTTGCTTTACCCCATTAATTCTAAACAACCACAGTAATGAGGAAAGCATCTGATTTTTAACTGCCTAGTATGAGCACCTTCAGTTAGTGTCCACATGGGGAGATTCCAGTCTTTGCTAGAGAAGGCATGAATAGCCGTCTCCTTATCTGAATAATTTAGATTGTGGGGGATCCCCCCGCCCCCAATTTATTTAGTTAAGAGATGGGGAGGGGCTGACAGAGGAAATCTTAAGCACTTTCCACTCCCAGCACAGAGGCCGGCATTGAACACAGCACAGAACTCCATCTCAGAACCCTAAGAGCATGGCCTGTGCTAACGTCAACAGCCTGATGCTTAACTAACTAAGCCACGCAGGTGCCCCCTGTTCTTTAAACTTTTTTGTGGGAGATTTTAAAGTTTGGTCTAGAGTTTTCATTATCTTTTATATTATATAACAGGAATTTTATAGTTCAAATTGAGGTTTTTACATGTAGAGCTGAACCCAGAAATGAGATTATTTAACTGGTTCTAATAATATCCAAAATGGGATTTCTTTCATAATTTATCAAATTCAAGTATGCCACCTGTTCAGTGATGGTTTAATAATTTATGAAGGGAATTGAACTAAATGTTCTTTTCTAAAATCTTCAGAATGTTAACAGGTATTTTCACTGACCCTGAAAGCTGTTTGGAAAAGAAAAGTTAAAGCTCTGTCCACACTTTACAAGTAAAACTTGGGAAACAAAAATTAGTAATTATAGTGCATGACATCTAATCTAGGTATTTTATTGGATAGTGTTTAGAGTCACCCAAATGTTCTTTGTGACAGAAATGTAGGCATTTCTGGTCCTGCTCCGTAGTACTGGTAAGTGTTGGGCTTCTCCAAGCAGCAATCTGTGTGTTTGTTTGTATGTGTAGATAACTGCTGTTTCCTTCTTCTTCCCAAAATATATACAGAAGTAGAATGAATTCTCTATGTACCCACACCTAATGCAACGTTATCAAAACGTTGCCAGTGTTATTGTTTCTATATTCCCTATCCTTTTCTTTATTTTGAAGCAGTTCTATCATTCAAGCTTTAAGTACATTATTATGTATTTTTAAAATAGAACCTCAAGAAGGCATAACCACAATATTACCATCACTTTGAAAATATTAAGGTATTTTTATAATATTTATTTGATCGCTTTAGGAAAAATGTATCATTAGAGTTGATTTCTTCACAAGGGGAGAAAGTAGTTTAAGTTAGTAATAGTGCTTCTTTGTTTTATGAAATATGCTTAATTTTCTCATGTTTTCTCTCTCCTTTTTTAAAAAAGATTTATTTATTTTGGGGACAGGGAGAGAGTTTTAAAGCAGACCCCATGCTGAGCACAGCACTGGGCTCCATCTCATGACCCTGAGATCACCACCTGAGTGGAAACCAGGAGTCAGCTGTGTAACTGACTGCACCATCCAGGTGCCCCAGTTTTCTCATCATTTCTTATTTGTAACTTGGGGGAATTTCATGTATTCATTTATTCAACAAACATGTAGCACTGTAACAGTATGGATATGGCACTGGGCCTGAGAGAACCATTAGTCTGGTGGCAAATGTAAGGATTAAACATGCTTTTGTAACATAATTTGGTACGTGCCATAGTAGGACATGTGTAGGGTCTAGAAAAGAGCACATGAGAGGGACATCTAATAAGCTAGACTGGGGTACTTGGGAAAGGCCTCTTCAAGTGGCCCTTCAATACTGGGACCTGAAGGATTAATAGGAATTGGCCTCAGGGAGTGGGAAAGAAGACAGATGTTAGTTACCAGGGGCTGGAAAAAATCTTAGGCCTGAAAAATTGTGAACATTATTATAGCTGGAGCCCGTGTTCTTTTTTTTTTTTTTTTTTAAGATTTTATATATTTGACAGATCACAAGTAGGCAGAGAGGCAGGCGGGTGGGTGGGGTGTAGTAGGCTTCTTGGTGAGCAGAGAGCCCAATGCAGGGCTCGATCCCAGGACCCTGAGATCACGACCTGAGCCGAAGGCAGACGCTTTAACCCACTGAGCCACCCAGGCGCCCCTTGAGTCAGATTTCTAAGGTTGATTGTATTTCTGCTTTCTCTTCACTGGTAGTGAATTCACTAAAGGATGCTGTTGAGATGGAACTCTTGTCAGTAGCGTTGCCTTAGATTTATCAAGAGGATAAATCTCAAGAATACGGGCCCTACCCCACTCCCTAGGTATCTGCCCCTCCCACCTTTGGTTATCAGACTATTAACTCCATGATGGCTATTTCGTGAAGACTTGCTGAGTAAAAGACAGTAGTGTTGTGTGTTTTTTTTTTTTTAAGATTTTATATATTTATTTGACAGATCACAAGTAGGCAGAGAGGTAGGCAGAGGGCAGAGCCACCCAGGCGCCCCTAAAAGACAGTTTAAAAGATCCTTAGTCCCTGGGGAGGGTTAAAGAAGCAGTCTAAATAGCTAGAGTTCAATGGGTAGAGTAATATTTTGATGTGCCATTGTGTTACAGTAGTATTTTAAGGAGAGTTGAAGAGTGGAAAGGGGATATAGATCCAGATTGAGAAAGGGGGGTTCTAATCTGGATTCTGTAAATAGCTAGATATCTTTAGGGCAGGTCATTTGTTCTCCCTTACCTCAAATGGGGTGATTGGACTAAATTTTAAGAAGCACATGTTTAGCCCATGGGCAGTCATGTCTTACTTGGTGTGTATACTGCCTAAAACCATTTTTTAAAAAGTAGCTTGAATAGTAGTGTAAAAATCAGACAAATTTTCCCCTCTCTCCCAGTGTAACAAACATAATTTGTGTTAAAATCTCACTGTGAAATATTGTCTTTTTTTTTTTTCATACACGGAAACCAAGGCAGTTAAAGTCTGTAGTTCACAGTGGGTGTCAGCCAAGATTGAAACTCTGCGCTGTATTGTCTCTCCAAGCATACCTGTTTTACACTTGGCCATTTCATACTGGATTAGGTCTTTTTCACATGTTTTCCTTATGCCTAGAATGTCTTGCAGTCTTTCTAGTTCTGAATTTAAGAAGCAGTTCAAGCTTCATCACCTGTGATGACCTGGCATTCCTGACTAAAATCACTTCTGTATCTAGTGTTGGATGTGTATTCTAACACTCTTGGTTTTTGTTCTTGACTTCTATTAGACTGTGGTCTTCTTCTTCTTTTTTTTTTTTTTTTTAAAGGCAAGTTAGGGAGGCCTTGTCTGCTAGGAGCAGACATCTACAAGCCATCTGGGTTTTTTGTTTTGTTTTGTTTTTTAAGATTTTATTTATTTATTTGACAGACAGAGATCACAAGTAGGCAGAGAGAGAGGAGGAAGCAGGCTCCCCGCTGAGCAGAGAGCCCGATGTGGGGCTCGATGTGGGGCTCGATCCCAGGACCCTGGGATCATGACCTGAGCCGAAGGCAGAGGCTTTAACCCACTGAGCCACCCAGGCGCCCCTAGACTGTGGTCTTCTTGAGAAGTCGATCTTACTCAATCTTGGATTTCCTGCACTGTTCTTAGCACGTAGTGTTAAGTGATTGTTGAAGTGCCGTTTTCTACCTTTTAAAATTAAAATGTCACTTAAAATTAAATGCCACTTTATTTTTTAAGGTTATTTTAAAAATTCATTTAATCAGGGGCGCCTGGGTGGCTCAATGGGTTAAGCCTCTGCCTTCGGCTCAGGTCCTGATCTGGCTCAGGTCATGATCTCGGGATTGGGCTCTCTGCTCAGCAGGGAGCCTGCTTCCCTTCCTCTCTGCCGACTTGCAATCTTTGCCTGTCAAATAAATAAATAAAAATCTTTAAAAAAAATTTTCATTTAATCACTACACCCAGTATAAGACTCAAATTCACCACTGCAAGATCAAGAAACAGTTGCATGCTCCGTGGACTGAGCCAACCAGGTGCCCATAAGTGCCACTCTCTCTCTCTATGTATATTTATTATTTATTTAAATTATTTTTTATTTACTAGAGAGAGAATGAGCAAGGGGGAGGGGCAGAGGGAGAGGGAGAAACTGACTCCCTGCTGAGCAGGGAGCCCCATTCAGGACTCCATCCGAGGACCCTGAGATCATGACCTGAGTCCAAGGCAGATGCTTAACTGACTGAGCCACCCAGGCCTCCTCTAAGGGCCACTTTAAATTAAAATCACATGCGGTACTTACTAGATTTGAGAGTGTGTTCATTTCAATACTGATATAGTACATTTGAAGTTTTGACCAGTTAGAATCTACGTTTGTCCATTTTTTTTTTTAACGTGGGGCTTGAACTCATGGTCCTGAAATAAGGAGTCCCATGCTCTACCAACTGAGTCAGCCAAGTGCCCCTAAGAATCTGCTGGTTTTTTTTTTTTTTTTTTTAGAAAGTCTTATTTGTATGAATAAGGCTTAGGTTTTATAGTAAAACTACATAGCTGTGGGAAATCACAAGTATTTTAGTTTTAAAAAACAAGTATCAGTTTATGACAAATCTTGTAGCTAGTAGTAATCATAAGTTACAGAAAAACCACACATTATATTGTAAAGTGCAAACTCAGATCTGGTCAGTTTGATTTCAGTGAAAAATATTATTAAAACTAAGCTTCAATAAGTACTATACTGATAATTTTAAGAATTACATGAATTCCAAAAGAATTATATGATTTCCTTCCTAGAAAAAGTTTGTATTGGCTTATATTTTAGAGTCAGGAGAGGGACCATGGAGGTGTTCGCTCTTTTTGTTATTTTATTTTATTTTTTATTTTTTAAGATTTTATCCACAAGCAGGAAGAGTGTGTCGGGGGAGAAACAGGCCTCCTGCTGAGCAAGAGCCCATGTAGGGCTTGATCCCAGGACCCTGGACTCATGACCTAAGCCAAAGGCAGACGCCTAACAACTGAGCCTGGCACCCAGGCGTTCCTCTTGTTTTTTTAAAGATTTTATCTTATTTTTCTTTAAGTAACGTCTGCAGCCAATATGGGATTGGATGCAATTGGAGTTGCATGTTCTACAGACGGAGCCAGCTAGGGGCCCCTCCTTTGTTTTAATGATGAGCCTTTTTTGAGGATCATAGAGATTGACTCGGTTTAAAGAAAGAACGGTAGTCTTATGTTTTATTAGTTATGATAAATAGAAATTCTATTAAAAACAAAAAAGATGCACAATAGTAAAATTTGTTCTTCTGGTTCTCTTTTCCATAGTTGCTATGTGGGGAGAGTGGTGATTAAAAGTAGATAGTAGGAAATACTGGTGCCTGTGTCCTGCATTTTTTACTGAACTTTGGGAGTTGGAAAGTCATTAATTTAACTAATGTGGTTTAACAACAACAAAAAATTGTTCTTATTTGGCTGAAAGATGAAGGTTAAGAAATGAGAAAATAGTAGTTTGGCACCCTTTTCCAATACAGTTTTAAAGCTGAACAATTTTTAAAAGTTAAGTACCTTTGTTTTTCTTCACTAGGTTTGTAAATATTATCTCTGTGGTTTTTGTCCTGCGGAATTGTTCACAAACACTCGTTCTGATCTAGGTAAGTGAATTTTCTTTGTAGCTTTTATCAAATTATGATTTAAAATAAAAACTGGTACTTTATAAATTCCAAAAAGTTTTCTCTTAAATAAGGTTTGTTGATAAAATAATTTTTTTCTTGGCTTAGATTTTTGAACGTATTTTAATAAATGCCAGTGTAGTTAAACATGGTGGCTTAAGTGAACATACATGTCTATTTCTACTCCCTCCCAAAACCCTCCACTAAAATGAAAATTTAAAAACAAAAAAGGTGTAAACAGAAGAGGAGATAACAATTAGCGATATCACCGAATTTTTGGAAGATGACAAGTGGATGGAAGAGTAGCAGCAAACTCAACAGAGCAGAACAACCTCTACCCTAAAAGCCTGCAGAATGGTATATTAAAAGGAAGTGTTTGATCAGCAGAACCCTGGACAGGTTCAGCATTTGGAGGCACCAGGTATCATAGCAGAGTTGAGTCATGGGCTAAAAATGAAAGATTAGTCTAGTTAGGGTCTCTCACCTGTGAGATATTTTGATATTTTGAGCTGGATATTTTTGTTTTAGGGGGCTATCCTGTGCATTGTAGAATGTTTAGTAGTAGTCCTGGCCTCTACCCACTAGATGCCGGTGGCACCCCTCAACTGTGACAGCTAAAACGTCTTCAACTAAAAAGACATTGCCACGTGTCCCTGGAGGGACTCTTAAAACCTGTGCATCTTGTGATTTTCTGTCTCCCACCCCTGCACCCCAGGAGACACTTGGGGGTTCTTTTCTGGAGAAATTGGACCTGTAAGACTGTAGTTCCATTTGAACCACAGAATGCAAAATGAAACAAAAACCAGTGACGTTCTTCTCCCAAGGATGATACGTAATTAGTATCATTCTAGAAACATAAAAGAGAAGTTAATTATTTGAAGCACAATGCTTGCCCTAGAGCCTTAGAAGCACATTAGGGCTGGATGAATCTAGCTGTTGGGATTCCAGACACAGCACAGGGCAGTAATGAGTAAAAATGAGACTTATTAAGAGAATTAAGTCTATATTCTTAATAGTGGGGTTTTCCCATTCCCTTCCTCTGCCCTGTTCCTAGAAGGATACAGCCAGATGTTTTTCCCCAGGCAGAAGAGAAGAGGATTCTTTAGAGAAAGTGAACAGTTCCAGAGAAATGATCTAAGGTACTGACCCTTGGGAATCTCCTAAAAGAATTTTGCTGCCTGATTTTCCTGTGGTGAAGCCCATTAGTTGGCAAACCCTGCCTGTGCATACCAACTGCCAGTTAGATTTTGGAAGTGTTTGCCAGCCAAGGAATACCAGTTAGACGCGAAGAAAACCTTCAACACAACAGATTAATGAAACCAACTGGGGCTGGGGGAGTTTAGTGGAATTAGAGATAATGGGGAAAGCAGAAGAAAAGATACTTTGTTGTTTTAAGTAAGCTTTATACCCAATAGGGGAACTCACAACCCTGAGATTAGGAGTTGCATGTTCTATCGACTGAGCCAGCCCGGTGCCCTAAAATACTAAAAGTCTTAACTAAATTTAGTATCCTCAGAGAAATAAGAGCGGATATAAGGAATAGGATGCTGTATAAAAAGGGAACTTTCGAAAAACCAAAAAGAGCTCTTGGAAATTAGGACTGAAGAAATGTGAAATAAAAATCAGTGTAAAGGTTTGAGAATAAAATCAAGGAAATTAGCTGGAATGTTGGGTGATCAAACAGAAAAGATTAAAATTTGAAAAAATTACATCAGTACAACACTAATTAGGAGTTCTAGAGAAAGCAGAAGGGAGGAAATTAAAGATTTTGCAATACTGAAGGGCGGTAGTCTGTAAATTGAGTGGGTCCTTCAAATGCTCACAGCACACTGGATGAAAAAAGATCCATTCAAAGGCACCATTCAAAAACCACTGAAGTTTCAGAATGGTGGGAGTGGGACAGGGACACACAGGATTATGAATCAGAATGGCCTCAGATTTGTCAGTAACACCACCAGAAGCTTGAAGACTTTGGGAAATAAACCTTCAGGATTCTGCGTGAAAAAATAATTTTCCTAGGTTAGCTTTATAACCAGACTCCAAAGTATGAGAGAGAAAAAAGACATTTTCAGACATGTAAGATCTCAAAAAATTTATCTCCCATGATTCTTTTCTCTGGAAATGCTACCAACACATGGGTATAAAACCAAGGAGAAAAACAAGAGATCCAGTAAACTGCATTCAATACAGACAGAAAAAGAACCTCTCAGGGTGACAACTGTTATTAGTGAGCTTAGAAAACCAGTAGCCTAGATTGAAGCAGAAAGAAAGCTCAGGGGCAAAACTGAAGCTGATTATCTGATAGATTTGGAATCTTGAGAGAATTTCTGTAGCTGACTTAAAGTGTTTGAGAAGAGTTCAGAAATACAGAAATCTAAACAAATGAAAAGAATTTCAACAGAAATGTGAAGCATATCTTAAGTCATCATAATGCCCCTTTTGTTTGGCTCAGTGGGTAACAGTACTTGCATAGTCAAAATGTAAAGTGTTTATTTAACTTAAAAATTTTTTTGACTTAAAATTTTGATGTCTAAGATAAATTAAGAAAAAGCAATATAGTTTAGAAATATGGAAATAAATTCCAGAAGGCATAGGTGACATGGTTGAAATTGGTTGCCTTCTGGAGTTAGGAAGGAGTAGGTCCTTGTGCATTCTTGTACTATCTGGCTTCATTTGCAGACACCCCAGATTAGTAAAAGATGAGTGGTTCATCCTCCTCACAGTTTCACTGGGTGGCAGAGGATACAATTTCTCTTTTCTTCAACTTCCTCTTCTTTTTTCTTCTCTTTCCTTACCATATAGTTGCTCTCTTTTATACTGATCTTGAAGATTAAGGAGAATAATTTTCATGTGTTTACTTGGGCACATTACTTTGTGATACATTAGGCTCAGTTTAGGTGTGTACAGACTATTTTGTGATGAAATGGGTCTTGTTTTCCTTTTTTTTAAGAACTTCTTTAGTTTTGGCAAGAGAAAAGTTGGTTAACATCACCAATAATTTATACATTCATATTTCTCATCGTTTTTTTCAGGTCCATGTGAAAAAATTCATGATGAAAACCTTCGAAAACAGTAAGTTATCTTTTTTGGTCATTTCTCCCTTCTTCATCATTCTTTGGTTTAGGGGACAAGGATTGAAGAAGTATTGAAATTGGTATAAAATGAATGTCTTGCCGAGGTTCTGTTCATTAGTTGGGATGGTAGAAAGTCATAGCTTCAAAAATGATATGATTAGCTACCTTATGAGTGCATATTTTACGCTTAAGTACTACTGTATCCTAAGCTTTTTTCTGGATCATGTTAGTTTTTTGTTTTTTGGTTTTTGGTTTTTTTTCCCCTCATAGTCCTGATTTTATAAATGAGACTTGTCCTGAGGCCAGGGTCACAGATGGTGTTGAAGCACCTAGCTTTGCCTTATTGTAAAGTCCATGCTCTTAACCAGACATGATGCTAAGTACTTGTCTTCTCTTCACCAGGATGAGAGACTAGAAATTGACTTTTTCTTTCTTTCTTTTTTTAAGATTTTATTTATTTATTTGATAGAAACACAGCAGGAGAGGAAGCACAAGCAGGGGGAGTGGGAAGGGGAGAAGCAGGCTTTCCAAAGAGCAGGGAGCCTGACGTGGGTAGGGCTTGATCCCCAGACCCTGGGATCATGACCTGAGCTGAAGACAGATGCTTAACCACTGAGCCACCCAGGTGCCCCTAGAAATTGACTTCTTATATATGGGTTTACTCTTCAGAGTAAATGCAACAGTTTATAAGATTAGTTAAGATAGAATATGAGAGTTGTAACAGATAAAGATTTGGAAAGAAAATAATGCTTATTAATTTTTATCCTTAACCAGGTATGAAAAGAGTTCTCGTTTTATGAAGGTTGGCTATGAGAGAGATTTTCTGCGATACCTACAGAGCTTACTTGCGGAAGTAGAACGTAGAATTAGACGAGGCCATGCTCGTTTGGCATTATCTCAAAACCAGCAGTCCTCTGGGGTGCGTATGAAATTAATTTGTAGTCTTTGTAAAGTGTCCTTACTCTTGACACCCACAGACCTCCCTAGTATTGAAACTTGTGGTCAAGTTCATTAATTTGTATTCTTTTTTTTTTTTAATTAAGATTTTATTTATTTGACAGAGATCACAAATAGGCAGAGAGGCAAGCAGAGAGAGAGGGGGATATGCAGGCTTCCCGCCTAGCAGAGAGCCCGATGCAGGGCTTGATCCCAGGACCCCGAGATCATCACCTGAGCTGAAGGCAGAGGCTCAACCCACTGAGCCACCCAGGCACCTCTAATTTGTATTCTTTTAGAATGATATAAACTTAAAGGGCATTCATTTTTTTCAGTCTTTATTTATTTTTATTAAGTTTTTTTTTTTTTAAGATTTTATTTATTTATTTGACAGACAGAGATCACAAGTAGGCAGAGAGGCAGGCAGAGAGAGAGGAGGAAGCGGGCTTCCCGCCGAGCAGAGAACCCAATGCGGGGCTCGATCCCAGGACTCTGGGATCATGACCTGAGCCAAAGGCAGAGGCTTTAACCCACTGAACCACCTAGGCGCCCCTTTTTCAGTCTTTATTAATAATATTCATTTTGTTACTCGTTAAGATTTTTCTCATTATCCATAACTGACAAAATATGTAATTGAGTAGCAGAAATTGAAGGTAATTATTCTTGTGACTCAGTATTTTAACTGTTAAATACAGATACTATGTATGGTATGTGAGAGCTTGAATATTTGTTTTTTACTTACTGATAATACATTTTATTTTTTTTATTTATTTAATTTATTTGACGGATCACAAGTAGGCAGAGAGGCAAACAGAGGGGGAGGGGGAAGCAGGCCCCCCACCGAGCAGAGAGCCCAATGGGGGGCACGACAGGACCCCAGGGTCATGACCTGAGCCGAAGGCAGAGGCCCCACCCACTGAGCCACCCCGGGGCCCCACTGATAATACAGTTTGTTATCTCTTAATAGGCGGCTGGCCCAACAGGCAAAAATGAAGAAAAAATTCAGGTTCTGACAGATAAAATTGATGTACTCCTACAGCAGGTAAGAGTTGTGTACATTAATAACAAAATATTTGGCATAGACACTTAACCAAAGATAAAAGGTGGCAAATATGTATATGTAAAGGTGCTCAAAGTCATTAGTCATTAGGGAAACACAAGTTAAAACCACAATGAGATATTTATTGTATGTCTGTGAGAATGGCTACAATTAAACAGAGTACATACAAGGTGTTAATGACGATGTGGGCAAACTGGAACTAACCTACACTGCTGGTGGAATGTAAAATGGTATAACCACTTCAGAAAATTATAGGTTTCTTCTTATTTTTTTTTTAATTAAGATTTTATTTACTTATTTGACAGAAATCACAAGTAGGCAGAGAGAGGGGGGGGGAAGCAGGCTCCCTGCAGGGAGCCTGATGCAGGGCTTGATCCCAGGCCCCTGAGATCATGACCTGAGCCGAAGGCAAAGGCTTAACGCACTGAGCCACCCAGGCATACCGTAGGTTTCTTAAAAAGTTAAAAAAAGATCCACCATGAGTCTCTCCAGTCCTAGATAGTGACCCAAGAGAAACAAAAGTGTATGTTTACAGAGTTGTATTACCAGTGTTCATAATGGCTTTGTTCGTAATTGGCAAAATCCCTAAACTGGAACCAGCTCAAACATCTATCAGTTAAGTGAATGGGTAAATGCTGTGATGTATCTGTGCGGTAGAGTACTGCTCAGTAATAAAATGAATCAACAACATGGAACACTGGGTGAATCTTAAGATAATTAGGCTGAATGAAAGAAGCCAGACTAAAATAAGTACATAATTCCATTTATATAGAGTCCTAGAAAATGTAAACTGATCTCTGTACAATTCTAGGAAATGTAAACTGATCTGTAGGGACAGCAGATCCATGATCTGGGCGGAGGTACTACGAAGGAAATTTGGGGTAATGGATGTGTTATCTAGATGAGGGTGTTAGTTTCGTGGTTGTCAAAACTTCCTCAGATTTTAAACCTTAAAAATATGCAGTTCCTTGCATGTCAGATCTACTTTATTAATGTTGTAAAAAAATCAAAAGGATAAATTTAACCCAAGGAGTCTTCAATAAATAAAACCAAAAGACCCAAAACAACCATGAAATGGTAATGAAGCTTGGGGAAGAACAGAAGAATGGTTTGGTTAAAAAGGAGTCTTGACTGCTTTGCCTTCTTTTTTTTTTTTTAATCCGCCTTAGATTGAAGAATTAGGATCTGAAGGAAAAGTAGAAGAAGCCCAGGGGATGATGAAATTAGTTGAACAGCTAAAAGAAGAGAGGGAATTGCTTAGGTCCACAACCTCGGTGAGTAGCAACCTCATTTTGATTTATCCAGGCTGTTCTCTGTGAATACTAGGACCTATTCCTAGTTGAGAATTATAGTGAACAGTTTTCTAATGTCCTAAATCAAGAGTCTGCAAACTGTATCTTAAAGGATACACAGTAAATATTTAAGGTTTGTAGGCCACAAGGTCCCCTGGCCGATACCAAGCTCTGCCTTTATATTATGAAAGCAGCTTTGGATAATGCATAAGCAAAAGGATGTGGCTGTGTTCCAATAAAACTTTATTTACAAAAACAAGCTTCTAGCTGCTGCATGCCAACCCAAGCCTTAGATCATGAGTTTTCACTGGGGCCTGGGTCAGTCGGTTCGTCTTTCTTTCTCTCTCTTTCTCCTTTCTCTCTTCCTTTCTTATTTTTTTAAAGTTTTATTATTTGAGAGGGAGAGAGAACACGAGTGGAGAGAGGAGGAGAGGGAGAAGCAGATTCCTTGCTGAGCAGGGAGCTCAACATGGGGCTCTCCTAGGACCCTGGGATCATGACCTGAGCCGAAGGTAGACACTTAACTGACTGAGCCACCCAGGTGCCCCTAGATTTATTTATTTTTAGAGAGAGACCATGGGTGTAAGTGGGGAAAGAGGGAGAGAAGCAGATACCCTGGGAGTGGGGAGCCCAGCTTGTGGCTCAATCCCATGACCCTGAGATCATGGAAATCAAAAGTTAGACACGACCGACTGAGCCACCCAGGCGCCCCTTAACTTTCTTATTATGATAAATTAGCCCATACATACTTACCTTAGCTCAAAATTGGTATACTCTCCTACTTTTTTGTATTAATTAGAGAATGTGATACTCAGGTTTTGGATTTTTTTTTTTAATATTTTATTTTTATTTATTTGACAGATTTTACAAGTAGGCAGGCAGAGAGGGGAGAGGGAGAAGCAGGCTCCCTGGTGAGCAGAGAGCCCAATTCAGGGCTTGATCCCAGGACTCTGGGATCGTGACCTGAGCTGAAGGCAGAGGCTTTAACCCACTGAGCCACCCAGGCACTCCCTCACGTTTTGGATATTGATGGTAGAATGTAATTGGCCATCGGTTCCCAGATATTGAATAGGATATATACAGATTATGCTCAGTAAGTTCTGTTCTCTAAGCATTTAGGGTTAAACCAAAAAAAGTTTTTTATAGATTTTATTTATTTATTAACAGAGACACTAAGAGAGGGAGCACAAGTGGGGGTTGGGGGGTGGAAGAGGGAGAAGCAGGCTTCCCGCTGAGCAGGGAGCCTGATGTGGGGTTTAGTTTCAGGACCCTGGGATCATGGCCTGAGCCAAAGACAGATGCTTAACTGACTGAGCCACCCAGGTTCCCCAGACAGAATTTTTTTAAAGTAAGTTCTGTTCCCATTTTAGGCTTGAACTCACAACCGAGATCAAGAGTTACATGCTCTACTGACTCGCTAGCTAGGCACGCCTTGAAAAATATTTTTAATGTGGAGGCCACACCTTTAACCTGTTGAAACTAAGGAATTGGGACTAGAATAGGCAGCTTTCTGAAAGGTAGTTAACATTTTTCAAGGTGTTGTGCGCATTTCATTGGTTATAGTTGAGTGATGGGATCTCAGTCCATCCTTGGGATACGGAAAATTTCTTGCTGTTGCCTTTGTTTCCCTGCTCTAAAAGTTTACCAGTTACTTCTTAGGGCTTTGGGGAAATTAACAAAATTTGAAAACTATTTTAGATTGTAAGTACTTTGTTGGATTTTGTTTCTTTTTCTCAAATACTCTTAAAATAACTGATTTATCATTTCAGACAATTGAAAGTTTTGCTGCCCAAGAAAAACAAATGGAAGTTTGTGAAGTGTGTGGAGCCTTTTTGATAGTAGGAGATGCCCAGTCCCGAGTAGATGACCATTTGATGGGAAAGCAGCACATGGGCTATGCCAAAATTAAAGCTACTGTAGAAGAATTAAAAGTAAGCTTTTTGCAAGCATGCGCTTTAGCCACAGCTAATACTCTCATTTTAGTATGGCCAGAAATTGATCACATAGACACATAAGCCTCTTGTTGATACTTTGCTTGTTTGTGTTATTTGAAAGTATGATAATCCCTATAAAATTTTGCTATTCATCAGATAGGGCTTTATTTTCTTCACGTTTTTTGTGCCAGGAATTTGGGAGAAAACGATCCCTGAGGTCTTAGCCAAGTAACAGTATCTTACATACAGACATGGTTTTGGAATTTCTGCATTTTTCTTTCAGGGCATCAAGTTTCATATATTGATCTACACATGCTTTGCATTCAGTAACCATTGTTTGATAGTGTCTTTAAGAATATAGTTGTATAAAAATCAAACTTGATTTGTTTTAGGAAAAGTTAAGAAAAAGAACTGAAGAACCTGATCGTGATGAGCGTTTAAAAAAGGAGAAGCAAGAACGGGAAGAAAGAGAAAAAGAACGGGAGAGAGAAAGAGAAGAAAGAGAAAGGAAAAGACGGAGAGAAGAGGAAGAAAGAGAGAAAGAAAGGGCTAGAGACAGAGAAAGAAGAAAGAGAAGTCGTTCACGAAGTCGGCATTCAAGCCGAACCTCAGACCGAAGATGCAGCAGGTCTCGGGACCACAAAAGATCACGAAGTAGAGAAAGAAGGCGAAGCAGGTATGTGGAACACACGAGACGGCGCCTTGCACGTAGCGAGTGTGCAGTATGCAGTAGCAGTTGCTAGTCCTTAAGTATTGTCCGGCACTAGGATGGATTATGAGAGGAATCAGCGAGCAGGCCACCTTCAAGGCAACCTTTTTGCTATTTCCCACCAGTCTAAGGAGGTTTGATGCACTCTTCTAGGAAGTCCATGTTATCATATGGTCTCTTTAAGCACATCTCTTCTCACTGATCTAAGAAGACATTTAAATTATAAATTATTTTGGTAAAATTACCTACTTTTGCTTTGAATGACATCACACAGAACATAAGAACTAAAGTGCTTTATAACCAATTCTTTTTTTTTTTTTTTTTTTTTAAGATTTTATTTATTTGACACACAGAGACCACAAGTAGGCACAGAGGCAGACAGGGGGGGCGTGGGGAAGCAGGCTCCCTGCTGAGCAGAGAGCCTGATGCGGGGCTTGATCACAGGACCTTGAGATCATGACCTAAGCCGAAGGCAGAGGCTTTAACCAACTGAGCCACCCAGGTGCCTCTATAACCAATTCTTTAAAAATGTGAAAAATGAAATCCATTTTACGGTTTGTTTGTTTATTTATTTATTTATTTGACAGCGATGACAAGTAGGCAGAGCAGCAGGCAGAGGGAGGGGGGAAGCAGGCTCCCCTGAACAGAGAGCCTGACGCGGGGCTTGATCCAGGACCCTGAGCTCATGACCTGAGCCAAAGGCAGAGCCTTAACCCACTGAGCCACCCAGGCCCCCCCCCCCCGCCCTTTTACTGTTTTAGAGTTGGGATTGAAGAGTCTTAAAGAATGTGGTGATGGGGCACATGAATGGCTCAGTCGGTTAAGCATCCGAATCTTGATTTCAGCTCAGGTCATGAGCTCAGGGTCATGAGATTGAGCCCTGCAGTGGTTTCTATGCTGGGTGTGGAGCCTGCATAATACCCAGCACCCCCCAACCCTGTTTTTGCTCACCCATCGATGGTGATTATCTTAGCACTATTTGAAAATTTGAAGTTAGATTTTTTTTCTTAAAAAAATTTTTAAGATTTTTATTCATTTATTTGACAGAGAGACAAAGCGAGAGAGGGAACACAAGCAGGGGGACTGGGAGAGGAAGAAGCAGGCTTCTCACCGAGCAGGGAGCCTTACGGGAGGTTTGATCCCAGGACTCTGGGATCATGACCTGAGCTGAAGGCAGACGCTTAATGACTGAGCCATCCAGGCACCCCGAATTTAGATTTTCAGTAGTTTCCAATTCTTACGTTTTCAACTGTAGTTTTAGCTTTAGTTTTCTACTGTATTAGTAATGGATTCTACTCATTTGCCTTTTAAGGGTAAGTTTTACTTGTTAATTATTGAACAGTGTATAATCTTTGCAAGGTTTTTTCTCATTGTAATGTCAGCTGAAGTTGCTTTCCTTTTTGTTTTCCACTGTGAAGAAGTAGAGATCGACGAAGAAGCAGAAGCCATGATAGATCAGAAAGAAAGCATAGATCTCGTAGTCGGGATCGAAGAAGATCAAAAAGCCGGGATCGAAAGTCCTATAAGCACAGGAGCAAAAGTCGGGACAGAGAACAAGATAGAAAATCCAAGGAGAAAGGTTAGTTTATGTGAGAATTTGATTCATTAATTGAAGACTGTTTTCAGTCTCTTCTCCCCCTCACATTTCTTTGGACATAGGCAGAGTTCCATTTTAAGCTCTGTTCTTTTTTTACTTACCTCCAGCAGCATTCAGTAGGAGATGGGGGCAGTATTTTCCCCTTGTCTGGTTTGTGAGAAAGGCAGTTGACCTGGTGTTTTCTTAGAACATGTTAAAAACACATCCTTCAGTTGTTCATCTAAAGGTTTGTCATCTCGATTCTTCCAAGTATTGCATTACCTTTCAGGGTTATTAGGCTGTAGAATTTATTAGTTTATTTATGGGCAACTTTTTATCTGCTGCGTGTTCCATAGTATATCTTGCAGAGTCAGTGTGTTGTGTTGCATTGGTCCTCGTGTGCAGCCTTCATTTACCTGTGTAATGAAGTTCTAAGTTTGTGGAAGTTGAATACCTTACCTTGTCTTAACCATGTTTTCTATTGAAACAACATGCATTTTCCTTTGTACTTTTCCCTTTGGTTTTTGGTGGTGTTCCAGTGGCTGGAACGCACGTTCACAGCACTATTAATGGACTTTTTCATTTTGTCTTTGGCATGTTTTCACGTGGCTATTTTAATCTTTTAGCTTAGTCTTCATTGAAAGATAATTCTTTTAAATCATCAGGGTCTCCTTTCTGTATTTTCTTTAGATTCTTTGAGCGTCTTTCATTTTGTATTGACTGGGCCGTTCTGCTTTGCATGGGTTTTGGGAATGAGAGCAAGGGCCTATTTCTCGTTTTCTTGGCTCTGCTTGTTCCATCCTGTTCTGCCCGTCTGTGTCCATGTTTGATCACCCGACATGTGTGCTGCTGTGTTTGAGTTGATTAAACTGGACTTCTGTGTGACATTCATTTCTTCATTTCTTTTTTGGAACTATTCTGTGGTATTTGTTTTTTTTTTTTTTTTGGGTTTTCTGGGGGCCGGACATGGGTTTTTGTTAGACTGAGTTAGAGAACTAGCAGCGCAAACAGTGGACATTTTTTTTTTTAGTCTTA